AAGATGGCAAACATTGTAACAAAACCAGGTCTGGGATCTGATTTCTGGTTTTGTCTTATCAGAATGTAACAGTCCCCAGAGCAGTGTCTGTCTCTTTGCTCCACCCTGAACAAAGCCTTTGCAAATACAGTCTGTCCTTGGTGTGATCCTTGAAATTTCAAACTTTGCTGCTCCCAGGACTGGTCAGATGTATAAAAATCCAAAATTAGTTGAGTCTGTTGCAGATTTCTCAGACATCCATAACAGAGGCAGATGGAAACTGGAACTCAAGAACATGAGGGGAGTGACATATCTTCCATTTTTTAAATAGAGGATGCTTTCAAAAAGAGGACTGTCCTCTGTAACGTAGCCTCTATAAAACAAGGCAAGACAATCTTAGGGCCACCCTAATGTTGCCCCACTCTGCTGTAGAACCCAGCTTGTCCTAGTTTCCACTGTAATAACATTTTATATGCCAAGATCAAAAACAAAATGCAAAGGTAATTCCTTATCACTGCCATGGAACATGTGCTTATCTACAGATAAATGCAACTTGATCAGGGAAACCTTTTCATTTCTATGGCTTATAAAATAGAACTCACTATTTATAGCTAGTTCAAAAGCATCACCATCAAGCCATTAAACATAAAAAAGCTCCTCTGAATTTTAGATACTGTATAACAAAGCATCAGAGATCCTGTTGTCAGCAAAAAAGAGCCTTTTGGGCAAAGACTTCCTTTGAACAGAAAAAGTTTGTACTGATTTTGCAATCTTCACAAATGAAGCACGATAGCTTCCAAAGCCCAGAACAAATTGAATTTCTGAAAAAGAGAAGGGGGGGGGCAAAAGAGAAAACAAAGGATGCCAAATTCAGATTAATGCTAAGTTAATTTGATATGGGAATACACAGTACTTTAGGTGGCAAGTATTGGATTGTAAGTGTTCCTCTGCACTGGAGTATATGGTAAATGTATTGTCCAGAGCTGAAGTGATCCACTAAGCCACTCCAAAATACTTTGCATCACTACATGGCCCAGTTTGCAGAGGGCTAGCTCACTGAGGGTTGTTTGAGCCATGATCAACTTCATTGTGTGTCCCAGCTGTTTTGATTGTGCTGGTCAGGGTTTATGCAGTGTCTTTTTTAACCTGGTCAGAAAGAGTTATTCAAGGGTTAGAAATGCTTGTTTAATTCAGCCATGATTTACTGTATTACTGCTTGAATAACTCATAATTACGAACAGCACAGTGCAAACACAGACTGGCACAATCAGTGGTTGCACAACTGAAGTGGTTGCTGCACATGCCTGGCACGGAGGTCAGCTAGTTGAGCGTTGGCCCATGACGAGCCAGCTCTGCTGTGTGAACTGGCCTGTATGCTCACTGGGAAAAATTCCTTATCCCCTCTACTGCTTGGGAAATTGCAGCTAAACTCGGGGACAGTATGAGATTCTGAGGGGTAGCAGATGACCTCACTGTCCCTGCTGTTAAAAATGAGTAACAGCCATGCTGCATCCCTGTGAGCTCTGGATTCACCACACCATCGGTAACCCTCCATGCCCTGTGTTAGATGTCATTGGGGCAGCCCCACATGGAGGCATGGATGTACAGTCTTACGTTTAGCTTAGGCCTTAGAAATTGGGGCAATAGTAAACAAAGAGCCAGATTTTTTTTTCAGACCTGTGAAATCAGCTCTCTTTCTCTTGGATCATTTCCCTGAAGCAGCTGGCATTTCTTTTTTTTTTTTTCAGTTTTGAACTTAGGAGTTATTGCTGAATTTACGTTTCAGCATCCAGCTAATAAGTGTGTAAATTTAATTTCTTTTCTGCTGTACTGAGATAATGCCACAACAGCGAAAGTTATTTGACTGTGCGATGATTGCTGAGGTTGCCCTGGCTGATCCTTGATGCGCTATGCATTAAGAATCCTTTGGCACATAGAATTTGGACATTTTCTGCCCTCACATCAGCAATGATTTTTATCTTGCACTGCTTTGTAAAAGGCACTCAGAGGAATCCAATGGAGTCTTTGAGTGCCTGGCTAGAATGGCTATTACACTTTCCAGAAATTCTCCTCCAAGCTGCTTGTCCTTTGCCGAAATTCACGTCTAACAGATGTACCCATCTCTTCTTCCAGAATGACATTAAAGTCTTGTGTGTGCTGACTCTGGGTAAACACCATGAGATTGAGCAACCTATAAAGAGAACCAAGGGGGCTCTGCTGCCTTCAGCCATGAAGGTTTGTGGTCAGAGGCTCACTTTATGCGCTCTACCCATTTTGAGACCCAAAAGGCTTTCCACCCAGCCTGTGCCTCAGTAGCAATCATGGTATTTCAGTGCTACCATGTGCATCCCTAGAGGTTTCACAGTAGCTCTGCAGTCATTATGCAGATGGTATTGCATTCATCAAGTCATGCTGCTGGTACTAAAACATGATCAATATTTGGTAGCTTGCCGCAGCACAGTGGGAGATTCATAATTGCATCTCCATCAGCCAATATATTCCATCAGCTCTTTCACCTACCTACAGATCCACTCAGAGACCCAAGTCCACAATTAGTATCCAGGATAGCTAAAACATAACAAGTGCACAATTCTATCTGTCCTATGATTTCTATGATGCTGGATGGGAGATGTCATGTTGGGGAATGTTCTTTCTGTCTGTCTGTCTGTCTGTCTGTCTACAATTGAGCCTTTGGCAGGTAGCAACCACAGTAGTTAAGTGGGAAATCTGCAGGCACCCGTGGAGTACCTAAACCAGATGGTGGGGATATAGGGTGGTGCTGCTGAGCCTCTTTCAGCTCAAGGACTGCATTACATTTTGCAGAAGCCAACAGAGGTGGCTTTGGAGTGACAGGTGGGGCCACAGGCAAAGGGGGAGGCCCAGAAATATTGAGATTGCTCCAAGCAAGCCTTAGGAAAAGTATTTCAAACTTTTAGAAGTGTGCAGGGGCTGGGGAGGTGGGGAAGACACACATGCACAAGCCGGGAAAATACCCAATGCTTGGTGTATTTTGAATAAAAAGAGGGTAAGGCCAGTGAAAGGAGATCCGGCCATCTAGAAATCCTCCAAGGTCTGGTTTGGACCTGCAGTTCTGCACCCCAATATAGAGAGTTGTATCCAATGTTAATCCTATACAGAGTAGAGCCCATTAAATTAATGGGACTTATGTTAGACTAACATTGGATACAATGCTCAGCGGGGGAAAGAGATCCTGCTACATTGTGTCTCTGTTTTAATGCTGTATTATTTTACTGGAATTCTTGTTTTGGATTGTGATTTTAGTCTTGTAAACCACCCTACCCATTGCAATTGCAATTGCAATAGAAAAGCAAGGTCAGAATCATTACGAGAATAATAAGTAGTCTACATGCCCAGCTGGTGAGCCCCCAGAAGCCTCTGCCTAGCTGCAATTTTTCCACTACTGACACTCTGTGGCTGCTGCACCACTCTAGTAATGCAGTGGCCACTGGAGAGAACAGGGGAAATGCCGCACGGTGAGAACTGTGCTTTACACTCAGTCTTGAAGTGGCCAAGCAGGGAAGTGCAGGACTGGTGCTGCCGTTAGGCAGAGCACGGCAGCGGCCTCAGACAGCAGCACGGAAGGAAGGAGCTGCTTGGTGCAAAGCGAGATGCGGTGTGTCCTCTCGGCTAGCTTGCTGCCTTCAGCTGCAACGGAGGAAACGGTCCGGCAGCTGGAGACAAGGAGGCAGTCCAATTGGCTATTGCACATGGCATGGGAGGGGAAGCCACCTGGTGCTTCAGCTCAGGCAGCAAAATCGTCAGACCCTGGAAAATGGTACCAGCCTGTTTTTGCCCAATGTTCTGGTTTCAGAAAACAAACAGGACTGCAACAACACATTGCGGTGTGGCGCACTCCCTGTTCCGATGCCAGCCACTTCACTCCATTCCCCTTTCCCATTACTTTTCTATTCCCCTCGCTAGCCCATTTCCTGCCTGGTCACGAGGCATGCTCAGTCCTCTTCCTGGCACCCCTCTTGGGTTTTTAGAAACATTTATACCTCCCCCAAAGGTGGGGCTCCATCAAGCCTTCAGATACCTCCCTCCTGTGCTTAGTGCCACATTTTACTAAATAAGCAACATTCCTCACAGCAGGGAACTGAAAATAGAAGGAAAGAGGGGCTAACATTTAGATGAGTTGTCATTCCAGTGTGTGTACTGGTTAAACAGGGACAAGCCACGGGCGGATCCAGTGGGTTCCATCCAGAATTCATTTCAGTACAGTATGAGCAACACCCCTGCCCTTGTTGCTTTTTTGTAGGTGTTGCTCAGAAAATTGGAATCGGTATTGCCTAGATATTGTCCGGGCCACTTGTCCATGCTAGGCTTGAAGCCTCCATTGTCTGATGACTTTTTAGTCCTGAGTGAGGAATAACACAGTCGGACTAGTTACATTTAGTTATGTGATGGTTTAGTTACGTGATTTATGGATTATTTAAACCACTACAGCATAAAGCATCACGGCATGCTTGACTCTGACACACAGCCTAGGTCTGGACTGGTGTCATTTCAGCCATGAACTTTCTCCTGTGGGCAATCACTCTAGATGTGTTTTTAAAAGCAGAGTTGGTGGTGAGCTCAAACTCTACGGGAAATAAAAGTTGAAATTCCACTTCAGAGAACATGAGCTATACCCTTTGGCTGCATGGCATTTATGTTACACCCACCTAAGTCCTTCCATTGATTTTTATTTATTTATTTTTCAATTTATATCCTGCCTTTTTCCTACAAAGAGCTCAAGGCAGCTTGCATCTCCTCCTCCATCTTATCCCCACAACAACAACCCTGTGAGGTAGGTTGGGCTGAGAGTCTGTGGCTGGCCCAAAGTCACCCAGTTGGCTCCATGGCTGAGCAGGGACTAAGAACCCAGATTGTCTGAGTCCCAGTCCCACGCTCTTAACCACACCACCACACCTGGCTGTCCAGATTTCCCTGGGTTTTCAATGGATGGCAGCTCTCATGCATTCAAATAAGGCCAACAGAAGCAAATGGGCATCAGTATGTATTTTTATAACATTATTTATTGTGGAAAAAGTAGCCATTGTATGCCAAGCAGAGATATACAGGTATATGTTTCTATCATTAGTCATAAAAGACACAATTCAGCCAGGAGAGAAGTACCTTTAAGAATCACATTGATTTTGATGGAAAGGTTAAGAGGCCCGTTAAGGGTGTAGCTGATAGAAGCAGAGTCCACAGTACTGATGCTGAAGAAGCACTAAAGTCAAGGAAGACCAGTCAGTAGCAGGAACTAGGACAGAAAACGGCAACTAAGAGCCATTCTACACGAGGCGTCTGTTGTGCACTCATCAGTCCCTACTCGGGCTTGTTTACAGCTTCTTCAGATGACATTGTGACCCTCTAGTATTACTTTTGTTCCACAAGTGCTTTTCAGAGGGGGGAAAATGAGATATTATTTCTGCTGGTGAAAGAAAGCATGATTTCTTGGCACCCAGAGGATATTTGGTGGAAAAGCAGGAAAGGAAATGCTGCATGAGCACTGCTCAGATCTCAAGGCTGTAACAAGGCTGAAAGTAAAGGTGGCAGATTAACAATGTGTAGAAAATCCCCAAGACAAAGGATCACTAGAGACAAGCCTGCCTAAGAAAGGCCTACAGACAGCTGTTATCATAGCACAAGTGTCTGGGACATGGATTTATGTACCTATAGCTAAACTATCCCCTTCCTAGTTATCTGCTAGCTAACAAGGTACAGCTGATCCCACCTCCTGACTAGACCTCAAATGGTGAAGAGCCCCGTTATCTCTGGGTTTCCTACAGTCTGCCACCATTTAGTTCATGGACCTTGAAGGGTGGTGATGCCATGGGCTGGCCTGGGTGGTGTCCTTAGGGGGCAAGGTGTCCTTGGGACTGGGTAAGTCAGCAGGCTTTTCTGATTCCCTTGCTATCAGTTATTGGACTCCCATGCCTTTTCCTTGACTGTTCAGACTAAGCCCTGACAAAAAGTTAAGAACCTGATGGAAGAGGGCCAAACAGAATAGTCCTCCTTCATTTTCCCCTTCTCACTTCTTCATCTTTAGATCTCTACCACTGCTAAGACTAGCCCAGCTTCTGTTTGAACAGCTTGATGCAAATCCTTGCTTTAGATCCAGCTTTAGTGCATGAGGACGGTAGTCACTACTAGATGCAAAATGTCTGTCTACATATGTGCTTGCAGGACTTCAGTGACAAATATTAATCAGTCAACTGTGAGGTTGAGAGTAGTGAACTAACCAGTCAATGGTTTCCAGTTAATCTTTTCCTGTTGCCAGTCTTCAGAGAGTGCCCCCGCTTGTATACTCAGAGAGGCACCAGCCACATCAAAGGCAGTTATCGGCAGACTTGGGGAAACGCTACAGTTTGCAGAAGGTCCAAAAATGAAACTTGTACTGTGGATACACCAGAACAGCCAGCGATCATGCTCAGCAGATGTGGAATGTTGATCACTGGGGGAAAGGCTACAGCTCTGTGGTAGGGCACCTGTTTGGCATGTTCAGTTCCTGATATCTCCAGGCACAGCTAGGAAAGCCTCATATCCTGGAGAGCTCCTGTCTGTCGGCACAGACCAGGTGTGTTGAAACTCAAGACCTGCAGGCCAAATCTGGGTTGCCTGGAGCCCTAGTCCAGCCCTGCCTGATTTCTCAGAAGCCCCCCCTCCCCCCAACTGCCAATCATTTGCTGAATTCCCCAATTTCACCAAAAGAAAAAGTACCTAAAAGGGTGGAACACCTTTCCTAAGACTTAGTTACTGGCAGCAGGAGCTTTAAGCTGCAACTATGGTGGTGCATTTGTACCTGATCCCATGACTTTTCCCTTTGGACACCCTCTTCTTGCCTTTGGCTCCTACTACTGGGATGGACTTCTGAATGCTTCTTTGAAATTGCATTTTCCCCTCAGGCTGAAAGGAATTTGACACCCAGATGCAGAGATACTAAGCTGGATGGGCCAGTGGTCTGGTGCAGTCTTAGGCAGCAGCTGCAAAAGCTCAGCAGGGCTTTGCCAGCCTAACACAGACAGATGAGTGCCACAATTTTTAAGGGTTTTAAGGGATGGGGTGGGAGTGGGAAATGCCGTAAATCATCCTGCCAAAGAGTAATGGGGGGCGGGGGAGGTCTAGAATGGCAATAACTTGGTTGTGGCCCTTTCTTACATTCTTATTAAAAAACTGCTTGATGCCAATTTTGGAGAAAACAGCTAGTGTGGAAGCAGCTGTTATTCTGGCAGACCCAGACTTGTGTCATCACATGCTGTGCTGTCATAGGCTAAGCTAGTCATGTACAGGCCACAGGCTAAACTGAGCACAGACCAGCTTTTTTTTCCCACACAGCCACAAGAACCGGAAAAGCTGCTTTCCTGATGACATGAGCCATACGGAGATTATGTGCATGGCTGTGCATGCCCATGGCTTCACCCGCACAGGGCAGGCATGCCTGAGCAGCAGTGGTGATTGACCTTCATACTGCCATCCACTGAGAGGTTCTGTGGATGACCCTTTTCTTGAGGTTTATCATGTAAAAACTTTTTTTTAAACCCTCATAATCTAAAAGTAGATTCCCACTGCTTAAAATCAAACAGCACATGTGTGATTTCCTTTGGATCATTTCTGAAAGTGGAATGGATAAAGCTAACGGATAGTTATTTTTATTTTCAGTCTCACATTTTCAATAGAATCGGTGAGTATATAGAAAATACTACTACTTTTTCAAATAGCAAAATGCATCCATTACTTAAAAAAAAAACCCTTATAGCTAGCAGGAATCGCAGGGGTTTAAGATTAGCTGTAATGACCTACATGCATCCTCTCCGAGCGTTTTTCCCGGGAGCAGGGTCCGCGCAAGGCTGAAGCCATGCGCGGCTGTGGCAGCCGACGGGAAAAGAAAGCTGCTGACACAAGCAGCCCGGCCCTCTCCGCACTGGCGCTCCCTCCCCGCCGCCTGTGTCATGCTGACTCACTCCGCAGTGACAGGACGATGAGTGGCAGACCAAAGTCTAGAGCCACCGTAGGGCGCACCCTGCGGAGGAAAGCGCCATTATCCACGGCCAGCCAAACCTCCTCCTCTGCCAGCGGCTCGGGCAGATTCAGTCCCTGCCCCAGTTAGGGCTGCGTTGCGCAACAAGCAGGGCTCCACGCGCAGCCGGCGCTGCCGGGCCTCCTTTGGCTTCGGCGGCGTCATACGAAGGCCCCGTTCACTGGCGCGCTTGATCTGTGCCAGACAGGAGCCAAATGACTGGCTTTTGCATCTCCGTGTCACCGACCCTCTTTCGAAGCCGAGTTTTAAGTTGCGTGCAGAGATCTCTGCAAACACGCAAAAGCACGTGCGCGGCTTTCTGCTGAGGGGCGAACCTGGTTAAGCCCTCTCTCCCCACCGTTCCTCTTTGCCACCCCCGCAAAGCCTCAGTTTTAGTGTTTGTAGTGTTTGCTGCCCTTTTGCATCACGTGAACCCCATTTTCAGGCAATTATCATCATCCAAAGGGGTTGGCTTCTGCAATGGGGGGAGGAAACGAGGTGACAGGTTCCCTTTTTTCCTGGGTAGGCGCTGCTGGGCTTGTTGGGAGGGGGAGGGAGTGGATTACGCGTGCAGTCCTATGCATGTTTAGACAGATAAAATGTCCTACAACTCCCAGCATCCCAAGCGAGCGTGGCTGAACACGCAAAAGCTTGCTCTCGTACGTGCAGCAGTCGCTGCACTTCGGCCCAGGGGGAGAAGCGGCGGCAGGCGCCATCCCGCTCGTCCTTGGCAGGGAGAGGCGGTACAGAGGCCGGGTCGCTTGCCCGTGTTGCCGCCGCCGCTTCCTTCCTCGCCTACGGAAAGGCGGGGCGAACGACGAAGGAGGGACGCGGCTGCTCGCGTCGACAGCGCCTGTTGCTGGCCGCGGCTTGAACAATAGCGGGGAAGGCCTGAAGGCTGCAGAGGCGGCCTGCGTGGGTGAGGCCGCCGCTGAACTGTCTGCGCAGCCGCCGTTGAGGGCGTGCGGGGAAGGAGTCGGCATTACCTGGTTCGCCGCCTCTTTCATTTCTCCCTCGTCTTTCTCTAGTAATTGTGAAAGAAGCAGCAGAATTAAAAGTGAACAGAACACAAACACACGTGAAAAGAAAATGGAAAGAATCCATGCAAATATATCAGTGAAAACACCCGCACCACCATGCAACATCTCCCTCCTTGGTTGAGCCGGAGCAGGAAAGTAAAGTTTGCGAGAACATGCCTTCCGGAGGTTGCGGTGGGGGTCGGTAAAAAAGGGGGAAGGGAAGTCTGAGCCAAAGAAGCGCCCCTTCTGCAGCTAAGTCTGTTTTGCAAAGGGACATTTCCGTTTCCTTGTGTTTTGTTTTTGCAAAATGCTTGTCATCCTCGCTCTTCTGCAGCGGGGAAATCTACGGTGCGTTCTTCCGTTACAGTCTTTAATACAGCACATTAATTATACTTGAGACAGGAATTCACAGAAAGGCGTAACCACACCACATCCCGAGACTGTTTGCTTCAGTCGGAAGCTGGGACTTAAAACACATCACGGAGGCTGAAATTGTATTGAACAACCAGAGACAGGCAGATAGTTTTGCGGCAGGGGAGCCAGTCTGGTGGTAAACGTAAGAACAACAAAGCCACGGAATATTTACAAAGCTCCGGGGACTGGAGGCGTGGGAAGATGAGAAGATAACAGAACCACCAGCTTTGGGCTTGAAATCCAGGAGGGGGAAGGCCTTCGCCTTTAGGAATACAACCTGCGAGCTGAATCCAGTACTGAAAATGCAAATTTGGAGAGTTCCCCTTCCCTTGCTCCTCCACAAGTCTCCCATATCTTCCCAGGAAGATCCCAGTAGTCCTGCTAATACAAAAGACTCTCTGTAGCATATTGGGGGGTATGCGCAGGAAGGAGGGGGAATTTGCTGCCCCAAGATGTGGTGATAGTCACTAATTTGAATGGATTTACAATGGGATCAGACAAATACATGGAGGAGAATGCTATCAAAGGGCACTAGTCATGATAGCTAGATAACACTTCCAGGATCAGGGGCAAGATAGGGTGCTATTGCATTCACACCCATCCCATAAGCATTGTGTGGGTCAGTGTGGGAACAGAATATTGGACCAGGTAGACCTTTGGTCTGATCCAGCATTGCTCTTCTTATACCCTTAATCGCAGCTCCATTCTGTATTAAATACCAAAGAGAAGGCCCAGGTTTCTTCCAAATAAGTGGCCAGGGCAACTTATTTTATACAGTTATGTGTATTTTATATTGTTATTTATGTATTTTAATTTATTTATTTGTAAGCCGCCCCGAGGCTTTGGCGAATGGGGCGGCCTAGAAATTTTCTAAATAAAATAAATAAAATAAATGTTCTTGATTTTAAGGTTGCCCATCTTTTCTGGCAAGACTCCTATCAGGGCTGGCTCTAGTTTTGAAAGGTCCTTGGTGGCACTTGGTTCAGAGATTTTTCAAGCCTACAGCTAGTGAAAGAAGCTCTTCTCCATTGCTGGGTCCTCCAGCTCCTGAGCATCCTTGATGGTGCTGATAAAAAGAAAAAGAATCAGAAAAAGCAGCAGTTATCTGGTTCTAGCTACCATATAGTTCCCACAATATCTTCAAGGTACTGTTGCTCCAAGGTATCAGTGTGGCAGGTAAGCATCCAAAGCCTTCAGAATGGGCTTCTCGTCCCACGTCCCCTCGCAGGGGGCCTGGGAAGTTCCTCCTCTGGGGTTCCTCCTCTGTTGCAGCACTGTGGGAGCTAGCCACGGTGCTGAACACCACCCCCAAAATAGGATCACTATCATGGAACACCATGGCCAAGTCCTGAAAAGCTACAATGGATGAGGAGCCCCACTGGTTCACCAGCCCACCTGGCCTTGCCCCCACCAGTTCACGTCTGTTTAGATAAACAGTTGCTGTATTTTGGTGTGCCGTATACCAAGGGTGGAAACCACAGGCCTGGGGGCCAGTAGTGGTCCTCCTGGGACCTAGTCCTGCTAGCCAGACTTCCCCAGAGAGCTACACCCCATTTTCTTACTAGCTCTCCTTTTCCTGACAGCCAATCATTTGGTAGCTTTCATGTTTTCATATATTTTTTTTCTATTGCAAAAGGTTAAAATTTATCTCTCAAAAACTTTCATTATTGGCACTGAGGGTGCAATCTTTTACATGTTTAGGGAGGGAAAAGGCCCTACAACTCCTAGCATGCCTATGCTGTGGGATTTTTTTCTGATTAAGCATGTGTAGGGCTGTGCTTCTAGCTGAAGAATTTAAAGCTGAAATAGGGTGGCAAAGGGTGGCATTTTTGGTGTTTGGGCTCCTGCCCTTTTGCCCTTCTCCAAGAGCTCTGAAATGCAATATGGCCTTCAGGATGAAAGTGGTTTCACAGCCCTGCTAAATACCAAGGTACAGCAGGATCACCACTCAGGCCCTTGGCTAGCTACTGTACTGCTGGCAGTCACACAAAGGGAGGGAGGAGCGCCACACAGAGGAGCTTCGTTTCGTTTCATTTATCACTTTTGTACGCTTCCCCATAGCCCACAGGGCTCTCCGGGCGGCTTACAATAGATAAGAACAAGTACATATTCCATAGACATACAATAATACATTAAAGTGGTACAAGTAAGCAATGCAATATTTTAGCTGTAGGTGATACAAAATCAAACCTTAATACAATAATATACTACATAATGCAATACATAATGTCAATACATAATACAATATAATACATAATACAATGAATAATAAAGAAGAAGAAATAACCGTAATCCACCCCCAGAAAAAGTCCCACCCAGGAGGAGAACCCAGTGCAGCACAGCTCTCGGGTTCTGGCCGGCTCCTTCAAAGTGTCTCTCCTTTCCCTCCTCCTCCTTGACAGCGCGACGCTTTCTCTCACACAAACAGCAGCATCAAGTGAGGTTGAGCTGGAGACCATGGGGAGAGCGCAAGTGGCCCCCACACTGGTCTGCGGCGGGTGAGATGCTTCACCTGGTGCATGTTTGTCTGCCCTGCAGGAGCTCCCTTATGTGCAGAACACATACTACACAAATACCACCCCCCACCCTGTGTCTGACTTTTCTTCCCCCATCTTCCATAGCTCCGTCAGCATGTATTGCTGTAGCTCTGGATGATAACATGGAAAAGTCAGGAGCAATCCAGATGCCCTTGTAATAGCAGTGAGGTTCTTCCCCAACCAATTAAGCCCTTCACAAAATCACACCCCACCCATCTCCTTCCCACTGTACTTTTGTGTTATAATGAGAGCTACTGAGTAACAACAGCATCAAGATTATAGGTATTCAAAACACGGATGGTCCAGGCACGGCATCTGGAGTGACTGTTTCAGCAATTGCTCAAGAGTTGGTTGTGAGAAAAGGGCTGAACGAAAAACTGAGAGCTTTTGCTGGCCTTTTAACACAGGACTGCCAGGCCACCTGCAGACTGCTGGGAATGAGTGTGGAAAGGTGGGCTGCTTCCTTTTCTCAGGTGGTTTTCTTTGCTTCATATGTCTTTTCATGGCTTTTTGGGGGCTCCTGACATCCTCCAAGTGTGTTGTCCTGACTCTCTTACATCATCTGCCACCATTGGTGAGGGCTTCACCATTTTTGCCAGGTGGGTCCCCTGCAGTCTTCCTAAATGCTTTCTTAATATATTTGCTGGACTACTTTCAGGGCTATAATGAAGCGTTGACAATCTGGACTTTCACTGAGAGCCACTAATTCCAGCAAATGAAGATGTCATGGACATAGTGAAGAGGTCCAATGGGGAACTGGTGCCAACCAGATGCATTTTCTAGGTCAGCCTTCCCCAACCTGGTGCGCTCCAGAAGTCTTGGACTATTTCCAGCATTCCTGCTCATTGGCCATGCTGGCTGGACTGGTGGACATTTGCATCCAAAACAACTGGGGGGCATTGGCTTGGGAAAGGATGTTCTA